CTCTGTCTCTCTCTCCCTCTCTCCCTCTCTCTCTCTCTCACCATCCCCCCTCCTTCCCCCTCTCAATAAACCTTCCTAGCTCCCCCATCTGTGACTCATGTGTTTATACCTCCACAACAAATTAACTATTTTGTGTCTCCCCCAACACAGGAGCTCCAAACAAGCAGGGCAGACTCTCAATAAACTGTGAAGACTTCAAATGAGCTATGAAAAGACTATATGCTCCATGCACACCGAAATTCTTTAATATTTCAATATAGAAACCAGAGTTCTGAAGAAATCAAGGTTTCAAGAGCCAATGTCTGAACATTCTGGCTCTGATCTGGAACTACAGAGCAATGATTCAAATCTCTCTCTTTGCATTTAATTCCTCTGGGGCTTTTTAGAAAATATCGGTGCCCAGACCCAACCCCCAGCAGTTCTGATTTAATAGATCTGGGGTGGGGCCTGGACTGTGATTGGTATTAAAAGGTCTAATGCGCAGCTAGGATTGAGACCCTCTGCTGAAGCTCAGGGCGGTCCCCCACATCGTACAGAGCTCTCAGTTCAGGCAATGGTTTACGAGGGTGTTGAGAGAATGATTGCCTCAAGCTGTTGAGAGCTGGTCCCCGCTGCCCTCTCTGGCTGTGGGCTGACTCTTACCCAGTGTGCCACAGAAATAGCATTTTCCAGTTGTGCTGTGAAGGGAGACTGGTTGGGAAGCACTGAGGAATGAATACCTACTAATTGGCCATGTACTATGTGCCAGAGCAGTGCTAGGAAATTTGCACGTGGCCTTATTTAACCCTCATTAAGACACCCGCGGCAGGAAGTTTGTGATTCCTATTTTTCTGATGAGAAAAACAGGCCCAGAGAGAGGTTAAGAATCTGCCCAAGGTCACAGAGATGGAAAGTGTCAGATGCACTGCACACACAGCTATGCAGGAAATCTCTGCTTAAGCAACTTAATACTTCAGAGACAGAAAAAGACCCTGGTGAGAAAGGAGGAGGGAATGAAAGCTGGGAAAGAAAGGCAAAAGGAGAGAAAAAAGAGGTAGGCACTGCAGCTTGAGGGTTCTCCCAAGCTTCTGAGTGAAAGCTGACATTTTTACAGGAAACCTCAGTCTGGGTGAGGCCGAGTGGTGGATCCCTGGCCACAATGGGGATGCAGACACAAGGTGCACAGGATGGAGGGCACAGGCTGCTCTCCTGGGTTCCTGCCCAACCCTAACCCCAGGGCCAAATGTATGAAATGGAGTGAACACATCTGGTTCGTGGTGGATGCTCAGGAAGTGTCTGTCTGTCTGTCTGCCTGGCCCTCTCTCATTCCTCCCAGTTCCCCCAGGTCTAGACTGTGTAAGAGCCTTGGGATCAGGGATACTCACAGGATGTAGGTGATGACGCCTATGCTCCTGCAAAATAAAGAACAGTCAAGTCAAGGCCTCCTGGCTCAAATCCCAGACCAACAAGGGACCCCCTGCATGGTTCTCAGGGGAAACAGTCGCTTGCCCCTCTATGGTGGCCTCTAAATGCAGAAGCTTACTAAAGCCTTGAAAAGTGAGTGTAGAGAAAGGAGTTTTTATGGTCAAGGAGGATATCAGCCAAAACCAGGGTCTGAGGCCTTCTACCCTTGGAAGGATCCCTAGACCACCTGGGGGATCTACACGACTTACCACATGTCAGCCTCCAGGCCCAGGGGCTCATAGTTCACAATTTCTGGAGCTGCAAGAAGCCATATTGAAGAGTCAGCAGGAGTATAAAAATGAGAAGAGACGGCAATAGGGAATTTTAGGGAGTTTTGTGCCAAATGTCTCCATCCTGAATCCCCCATAAAGGAAAATCAGAGCCAAGGAAAGATAATCTGGGTCTAAGAATTTGAGGAAGTTAGTTGTCTGTTATCCTGGTAGAGATGTTTTACAAAGGGGCCTTGATAATAAGAATGAAAACACATAGAGATGTCTGAAAAAGAAGGAGGGAGGTAGGAAGAGGAAGATGCAGGAAGGGGAAATAGGGCCCAGCGACAAGGCCTGCTTGGAAAAAAGTCAGGTCAGCACTGGAGGTCATGGAGAAGAAAAGAAGGCAGAGAGGAAATCCACACTTCTGAGTCTGGTCTGAAAGAGGGTACTTCCCACCTGAGGGGCAGGAGATAATGAGATAATGAGATAATGAGCTTGAAGTGCCTGAGGGGCATCCAAGGAATGATGTCCAGGAAGAATCTGGGTATTGGGAAGTGGGCCAGAGCCATCAAATTTGGAGTCATCGTACAGGTAGAAATAGGAGTTGTGTGAATGATGCGGTGACAAGAAGAGGGTACAGAGTCTAGGAAAGAAGATTCTGCTGAGGAGAGGAGACCAAATTTGGCCCAGAGATGAAGCAGAACAGCACTAGAAAGTGAGTGTTGGAGTTCACACTCACTGCAATGCTCAGAGTGTGGGAAGTAGAGATAAAAATGTAGACGATTCTTTTAAAAAGCTTGGTGATGAAATGGAGGAGATAGGGGAGGTATACAATTATGTTTTTTTTATTTTTCATCAGCTCTTTGAAGATAATATTCTATTGGACACTGGCTTCCATTGTTGTTTTGAGAAGTATGCTTTCAGTCTAATTACTATTTGTTTGTTTGTTTGTTTTTGTAGGTGATGTCTTTTTCTCTGGCTACTTTTAAGATCTTCTCTTTGTCCTTGGTATCCTAGAATTTAACTATTACGTGTCTATGTAAGGATTTATTTTTCTGTTTGGTATATACTGTCGTTTCTTTATCAGGGGATGCATGTTTTTACATCAGTTCTGACAATTCTCAGCTATTCTCTTCAAATATTGTTCCTCTATTGTCTCTATTCTTTGCTCTGGAATTCCAAATGGACCTATGCTAGCCTTTCTTTTTTCACCCTCTTTTGCTTATCTTCTCTTTCATATTTCTATGTCTTCGTCACTCTATGGTACTCTAATCTTTTCCAGCTTAGTCTTCGAATTCTTCAACTCTTTCCTCAGCAGTGTGTAATCTGCTGTTTAGCCTGTTCGTTGAGTTTTAAATTTCTATGAGTATATACTGAATTTCTTAAAGTTCTATCTGGTTCTTTTTAGAATTTGCCTGGCCATTTTTAATACTCTTTTGTTGCTCGCTAATTTCGTGATTCTACCTTTTATTTCCATTTATTTTATAATCATTATCTAGTAATTTCAATATCTCATGTCTTTGAACATCTTAATCTTGCTAGTCTCTGACTGAAATGCTGATATGTGCACTTGCCTTTAGGAGAATTCCTTCTATTGAATTTTCTTGCGGTTCACAGCTCCAGCTCTAAGTTCATTTCATTGGCTTTTTGGGGGTGAGACACATGATGTTGAAGGAGTCATTACCCTTAAAGATTTGCATTTAAAAGAATTGCATTTAAAAGAATACATTTCGCAAGGATCCAGTTTTGTCATGGGAGGGCTTTTGGAAGACTGGGTTCACCACACTCCTGGAAGCTGACATCAAATTTTTAACCCTGAGTCTCAGGTTGAAATTTCAAAGGAATAGTGGGAGCAGGGAAAATGGTTATGACCTGTTTCTCAGGCGTCTTGGGCAAAGAAAGTTATCATAGTTTGAGTGGGAGCTTAGAGAAGCCACCCTATGTATCTGTAAGGTATAAAAAGCAAAAACAAAAACAAAAAGAGTTTGGGGCTGGTGCTGGCTCCTACTGGCTCAGAAGGGTCACCTGTATGCATCTCTTTCCAACTCTGAATTCAGTGACTACATGTTAGTAGTTTGAAATTGGTAAATGCTATAAATTAGGGTTTTCTTTTGGGACCCAGTTGTTAGACATTTACTAGCATACTGCTGGGCAAAACCTTCCACGGTTTGGCCCCACTCATGAATATCCCACTCACACAAGCAGTCTGTGTGAATTCCCTGTTCCATCCAGAGTAGACAGTGAGTTGTCCTTGATAAATGCACTAATTCTGGCCCTATCCCCCTGCTATGGGATGTGCTCCCCCTCTACCCTGGCTCCTTCCCCACCCCTCTTCAGACACTTCTCCCACCCACAACAGCCCTTGCCCCTCACTGATTCAAGGCCATGACTGATCCCGTTGATTCTGCCAGAATGGGTATCTTGTTTGACCAGTCTTTGAGAGCTGTCTATATCACTCACTTTACAATTAATAACATCCTGTCTTGTGGAAACTCTTCCATTATTGCCCTGAATTTCTAATTAAACCATTTACTGTTATTTAACACTTGGTATGACTCAACTAAATAAACATATACTCTTTTTACAACATATGTGAATGGTGGGCAGTGACTGTTGTCTCAGAAAAAGTTCAAGAATAGATGTCATGTGCCCCAAGTTCAAGCTGGCTCTGCTCTCAACTCATTGTGTGACCCTGACTGTATCATTTTGAGTGTGGCTCCTTATCATCATCATGTTTGTCCTTAGTACCTCACCTAATATCTGTCATACATAAGGTGAAGAATAACCACTGATTGACCTTAACTAAAATCCTCCAGCCCTCCAATTCCACATTTGTTAAACTAGACCTGATGATCTGAAAAGAGCCTTCCAGCACTTTTATTTGGTGGCTTGATGTCTTGTTTCCACAAATTGTAAGTCCCTTGAGGGCAGAGTCTTCTCAGAGAGAAACCCAGTTTAATGGAAAGAGTATAGGTTTTGATGTTGGATATATCTGTATTTGAATCTCAAATACAGATCCACCATCTACTGGTTGTTTTGCCCTGAACAAGACCCTTGATATAGAAAATAATTAAATGTACTTCATGAGGTGGTTTGAGGATTAACTGAGATAATGTCTGTAGAGCATCAGACATACAGCAAGGGTTGGCATACAGCAAGGGTTCCCTGAGTGGGGTGTAGGTCTGTGAGGCTTTTGCAGCACCATTCCATAGTGGTGCAGAGATGGTGTGTGTGGCCTGAAAATCTATCTGACACATTCTGTCTTTCTTTTTGATTAGACTGTGGTCAGAAGTTTCAGCCCCTGGGTTTTGAGGAGACCAAGCCCTCTCTCTGTTTCCAAGACCACCTCACCTCCTAAAGCAGAGACAGTGGTTCTCAACTCTCATTCTTTTCCCTTTTACAAGGCTGTTTCTTTATGAACCCCAACCTGTAGCCCAAGCCCCAGGAAGGGGTTTCTGGGGCCTGGGTCAAGGGTGAGAGAAACAGAGGGAAGAGAGAGCTGCCAGGGCCCCCTAGTGCATGAAAAAACGTCAGGCACACAGGGGAGGCAAGTGGGAGGATCTGGCATCTGGCAGATGATTTCCCTTTTTCTTTTTAGAAAATCAAAAGCTACCCAGAGAAAGTTGAATTTACTGGAATGCAAGAGGGCAAAGTAATTTTCAATCTTCACAACAAACTCTCATCTAAGAGCAGGAGGTGGGGCTAGCAAAGGGCTTAACTCTGCAAAGGCCTCTAGCCCCACCTGGCCTTCCCAGGCCTTGCTGGGCACTAAAAAGCTAAAAAGCTAGCTCTGGACTCTCACCCAGAGGCCAGGCAATACATTTCCTTTCCCACCCATTAGGTTTCTAGAGGGGTCTCCAAGGCATCATCTCTCAGCCCAGAGGCCTCAGGGTTTGCTGCTGGGATTTCTTTACTGTTTGATCCTAGATTCTTTGCTGGAAGAGAAATAGGCCTAGAACTCACCAACAAATTCTGGTGTGCCAAAAATGTTCTTAAATTCAACTCCATCTTCTATTTCGTGAGCCAGGCCAAAGTCAATCAGCTTGATGTGTGGAATGGGAATATTCTTGTCTAACAACATAATGTTTTCTGGCTGGAGAACAACAACAACAAAAAAAAAAAAAAAAAAATGAAGAAGAAGAAAAAAAGAAAAGATGGTAATTAAAGCTCTGTTTTGTGTTTTTGCTTTGGGGATAGGGTGGAGTTTGGTGCTCTTTTTTAGGAGCCTAAAACAACATAAACTCTTTCTTGTTTTTGTGTCTTCTGTCTTCTGTGAACCCCAAAACAGGCACAGTACCAAAGGCAAGGCCTGGGTTTAGCAAACCTGCTGCTCACGACAAAAATAGAGACTTTGTCTTTCCTTTCCTTTCTGTCTCTGAATGGTAGATCCCTTCGATGCAGAAAGAGCCTCTGTTTCTCCACCTGTCAAATGGGGCCAGGGAGATACCTGCAGCATTTCCTGTAAATAAAACTGCTGCCTCTGTGTCAATGTGATGGGGACAGGGGCGTTGCAGCCAAGCCTCAGTTTACACTTGGCTTACAGACCTTCATCTTCCTGACCACCTCTTTCCCCCGGTCAGCCAGCTTCCTGTTGACAAAGACTAACGGTACGGTTCACATTTCTCTGTGTGTTTAACTAATTTTGGCTTTCTACAGAATACAGGAAAAAATGCACCTGATTTCCAGGAAGAATATCAGCTGCCCAGGCTATTTCCGGCCCAGCAAACAGTTGCTAGATCTGACACAACCATGTGGGTGTGTGGTGATGGGGGGACAGCCCTGCCCTGTCCTCACACACCCCGGGCTCCCAGTGAGGCTGGAACAGGGTCCCGAGCCTACCCTTCTCACTCCCACCCAACCACTCAGCACGCACTGGGTGAGCAGGTCCCTCTACTTCACCTTTCCTTCCACTCCCCGCCATGACTGTCCTAGACTCCATGCAAAGTAGAATGTCCTGAAAACATATATCCACACAGAAACTTGTACACAAATGTCACAACAGAATATTCATAACGGTCCCAAAGTGGACACAACACAAATGTTTATCAATTGATGAGTAGATAAACAAAATGTGGTATATCCGTACAGTGGAATACTATTCAGCCATAAAAAAAGAATGAAGGAAAAGAAAAAAGTAAAAAGAAATGAAGTACTGATACATGCGATAGCATGGACGAACATGCTAAGTGAAAGAATCGGTCTTGAAAGACCACATATTGTGTATTTTCATTTATACAAAATATCCTGAATAGGCGAAATCATTGAAACAGAGAGGAGATTAGTAGTTGTTTAGGACTGGGGGAATGGGGAGTGACTGCTAATGTGTACACGGTTTCTTTGGGGGTGATGAAAAAATTTTAAAGTCGATCGCCGTGTTAGGCATACAACTTTGTAAATTGTACACTTTAAATAAAGTGTACAATTAAAGCAGTTTTAAATAAATGTATATATGTATGTACATAAAAAAAAAAAATTGTCCCTGTTTCTCAAGCTACTACTGAAAAAATTCCCAACTTACACTTTTCTCACATTATTTGTTCTACCTGAAAAGCCCTCTGCTCAATCTCTGCCCACTGAAATCCTAGCCAGGCTTCAAAGTCTAACTCAATCCACCTCATCCTTGAACCCTTTCCTCAGCAGCACCGAACACCCCCCACCACCAGAAGTAAACTCTCCCTCCCCAGGCCCCTTTGTGCCTGTTTGAAACTTTTTTGTTATACCATTTGTCATGCTCTCCCTCGTCCAACAGTCCTTGCTGTCTTTGTCCTAGCTCCCCTACTGGACCCTCAGCAGGAGCAAGGATTCAGAGCTTTGCATCTTCACCCCTACAGTGCAGAGCACAGAGGCTGTCAGGATGACGGTGGCCCTATCTGTTAGCTGAACCGATTCTGAATCTGGACACCCTGGGTGCCCTTACTCTAAACTTCCTGGCACTCGACATCTCTGTGACCTCACGTCACAGAGTTTGGAAACTTTCGCTCAAGAGCTGGCTGAGGGCCCCTCTTTTTTCCTTTTCAAAAAAATAAATAATACATTTCCTTTTGCACTCTTTTAGACTTATTCTTTCTCTCCTCTAGAGATTTCTCTCAACTTTATTTTGAAAGGTGTCAAAGTCCTTTTCTAAGGCAGAGCAGAGTCTTAGGCTTTGTAAAAAGAAGGGCGAGGACAGGTTGAGGTCAGGAGACAAGACCCCGGCAGGTGGCTCTACTCCAGTGTCCCTAATCCAGTTCTCCGGTAGCTGCCCATGGACCCCACAAGTGTCCGTGCAGTGAGCTGCACCCTCCCCACTGCGCACCATCATCTGGGAAGCTAGCTTCCCCGCCCTTCACTCCACCACCTTCCTCAGCCACCTTATTGGGAACTTCTCTTCTCTTCCAAGGAATGGCCCTGAGGCTTGTCTCTGGGGCCAAAAGGTGAAGGCCTAGGTCTTGACTACCATAGTGTGTTCAAGGCCTAGGCACCACCACACAATAGACGTTGAATGGGGACAGGAGCCTCAGTGGACATAGGCAGACATTTTCTCACCTGGATCTCTCTCCCACTCTAAGAATCTAACACATGGCATGTGACTTCTCCCCTGCTTGGAAGACTCTCCCTGCGTAGTTCCTATCTCAAACCCAGCTAATTCATATTCATATTTCAGTAAAAATAAAACCTCCTTTAGAGCCCTACACACACACACAAACATGCACACACACACACACACACACATACACACGCACACATGCCACCTCTCCAGTTCCCATAATGCCATACGCTTCCCTTACTGCAGTGCTTCTTCAACTGTCTCAGGGTGGCAGCTTACTTATCTTTCTCCCTGCACTGGGCTATGAGCTTCCTGAGGGTTTTGCTCCTATCATCTACTCAAAGCTTAGTATAGAGCTTGGAATCCATCAGGTGCTCAATAAATGTTCCCTGAGTCAATTCGGGAGCCATTTAGTAAGCTCCTGCAATGCATCAATCAAGCACATGACATATTTTATACCTCACTGAATCCTCTCAGCTTACATGGTGGCTGTTATCATTCTTCTTTTTCAGAAAAGAAACCCAGACTGAAATACTGGCTCGTGGACACAGGAATTTTAGTCTTTATCTGACAGACTCCAAAGCTTGCGCTCCTAACCACTAGACGAAATGATCCCCCTTCTCTGCTTCTCAAAGATCCTCAGAATCTATCCCAGGGAGAAATGGGATTGCTGCTTGGGCCTGGCCATCTGGGGGCAACGTTGTATTCTGGCTCAGGTACAGCAATTTTCGTGCCCTAGCACCTGCTTCCCATTCCAGGATGCCTTTTATGCCGGTGATGCTTTCACCCAGGTGAGAGGCTCCAACCTGTGCCCCTGGCCTGGCCCTCATGCTGTGTCCAGAGGCTCAGAAAGGACCTCCTGGGCTGAACTTCTTCATCTCAGTGAGAAAAGAGATCCTGGCAAAGAGAGTCCCAAGATGAGTCTGGATAAATTAATGTGGCCTGGGGGTTTCAGACTGGGAGGTTGCCCGGGACAGCAGAAATGTTCTGATAGGGGGTCAGGATTGGGGTCTTGTCCCCACCTCCCTGACTCACACATAGGGCCATTTGGACCAGATGCATCTTCAGACTTAGACCTGCCCTGACTGCAAGAACACAGAGGCCATGTGCTTCCTGCTTCCTTCCCAGGCCACCAAGGGGATTCTAGGCCGGCCAGGGGACTTGGACCCCATATCTGCAGCTCCTCCTGCTTTCAAAAAGGCGTCCTCTTCCTATCCCAACCTCCACTAATAGCCTGATGATACCCAGGAGGCAATGCAGTGACTGACATTTACCGAACATTTACTAAGGCGAGCAGGGCACTAATGCACTATGTCATCCTTTGAGGCCACCCTGAGTGGTGGGTACTGTTATCAGTCCTATTTCACAGATGAGGAAGCAGAGGCTCAGAGAGCTAAGGCATTTGCCCAAGTTCCAACAGTTCATAATGGCAGAGTCATAGTAAGCTCCCGGGGTAGTCAGCCCTAGCTCTCTTCACATCAGTCAGTTTGGTTAAATATCTTCAGTCGTCCCACTGACCATCAGAGAAAGTCCAAATGCCCTGCCTGATATTTGAGGCATCCGAGGCTCTGCACTGGCTGCCCTAAGCTGCCTTTCCAGCCTCACTGCCCATCGCTTGTCTGCACCTGCCACATACCCTGTCAGGGTGGTATTATCACATCCAGAGCAATGTCTCAATACCAACCTTTGCTCCTGCTCTTCCCCTTGCCTAGAAGGCCTTTCCTACTCTTCTTCACACTTTCAGAGCCTATCCCCCATCCCTGTCTCCTTTTACTCCATCACTTTTCAGTGAAACATTCCCTGACCTTGTGCTCTAACCCTGACAGCATCGACAAGCCTGTGATCCTAGGTGCAGGTTGTCTCTCATACTGTGATGCCACTTTCCTGGGTGGTGGCCTCCCTAAGAAAATTTGAATCAGTTTTAAGGATCCTGACATCCCCTATGGTGTCTTGCATGTTTCATTAAAATTTGCTGATATGAATGGAAAGAACTGGGTATCAGTGGTCCTTCCTTGTCTCCCCTGGAGGTCCTCCACCACCACCAGGGGACCCAAGTGCACTCCTCTCCACAGGGCTGCTACAGGGATGGGTGGGGAGGGAAAGGGACTCAGAGAGGGCCCCTAGGGGCAGCCTGAGGGCCAGCAAAGCAGCAGTTCCTCCAAGACTTTTTAGTCTAAGCTTCTTTGCTCCCCACTCTCCAAACAGCATAGGCTGGTGGAAAAGAGCCCAGGCCTGGGTATTGGGAAACTCCACATTGAGCTATAGCACCCAAGGCTATGAACTTATACAAGCCATTTCCTCTCTCTAGGCCTTAGCCTCCTAATTCTAAAATAGATCCTGGATGATATCCAAAGCCCCTTCGAACTCTAGGCTCTGCAATTGCAAGATAGCACAACCTCCCCAGCTGGCTGGCAAATTCTCACTGCTCTGGACCCCAAGGTAGGACATGCAAAGACTCAAGACTCCCAGCCCCAGCTCAGGAAGGAAGAATAGGCAGCTGTGACCATAGGCCTCTGGGCCCAAGCCAGACTGGCTTCCAGGGTAGTATGATCCTATTTGTACTCCCT